GATTTCATGTAACATCTGCAGACCGATAAGAACTAAAGCTAGCTTTCGTGTCGCATATCATCTAGATGTGTTTCACGACAGGAACATGACGAGAATAGGGCAGTACTAAGGCCGCACGGTCTATGGGTCAAGAACCGATTAAATCCTTCCACTTCTTGTATATTTCCTCTGCCAATCACCTGGAGCCAAATTTGCCTCTAACAGAGAAATGGTTACAGCTTTGTGCAACTTCTGACGAACCAGAAAGTGTCCAGGACTCGCATTGTTGGCATATGAGACTTGGTGGCAATAGAACAGACAAACGTCGCAGTAGCACAGTGATAAGGGTCTCACTCTGCAAAAGATAGCAAGCTGGTTTACTCCTCAATTTCTGTTTTTTCTGCGATGAAAGGTTTTCTTCTATTTCCCGATATTTCTTCAAATGAGCGCTTGGTTAGGACCATCGTCTATGCATGGTTTGTCTTATCAGAATGAAACGGTCATGGACAAAAAGAGTCTGAAACTCTAAAACGAGCACTGCTTGCAAAAAACTAAAATCGCACACTCTGCTGAGAAGGACATGTCCTTCACAGTGTGGAGAGTGTGCGGATTGGTATGTTGATCATGTCTAGGATGCTTATAGTTAGAGACCGCTTTCCGATGGAGAATACCCCAGGCTGTGAGGCTCTGAGAGAAGTGGAATTCTTCGGCAATCGGCGTGTTCACCTTACACGCCTAGGAGACTTATCGTGTCTTTTGCCATTGAGCCTTTCGCGCTCTCACTACACGTACCATCGCTGACAAAATTTGCTAGGCAATCGCAGGTGCCGAAGGAGTTCAGATCCTGAGGTAGATACAAATGTTGGGTAAATCGTCAGAAACCCTTTGATTGGTGGGAAGGATTAATTTTGGCTTTGTCTGGAAGGAATCAGTGTAATCATACCAAACTACTACTGGCATCAATTCCTGCAAATGCATATGCTCCATCGTCTCCCTTTTTATACAATATTTCCGCTCCGATCATATGAGAGAATGCAGCAAACGCCACTATATACTGTGCAACTATCATAATCCATACATTTCTTCGAGTCCATATCTTAAAAGCAACAGGACAAGCTCGAACTTCTTTGAATACATTCACTGAACCGACTTACCTTGTCATATTTCTTCAGAAGGCAAAGTGCAGAGTACCGATTAATTGTAAGAAGCATGTTTCCTATCATATGAGTGAGGAAAGTTGTTCCACTCATTAGTATTACAAATGGCATAATTTGCTTGAACTCTGGACCCAGACCCAGTTGACGGTTGAGCCGATTGAAGCAGCTCACCATTATAGCAAGGACGTCCGCAACTCCTGTGGAGAACAAGTGAGATTATCAACTTCACCATACATTTACAAAAACCCTCTTAGCTGTCTATTACAATCACTTCTTCTGGATCCATTGCTTGTTTTTCGTATTGAAACTTTATCTCCATCCACCTGACTTCTCTCTTGAAGCGGAGGTGATGTAGTGACAAGTGGCGCGCTTACCACTCGCGCGGTCCTGGGTTCGAATCCCGGGTCGACTCCCGCCCAGGCCAACCAAGCCTTCTACCCTCCGGGGACGGTAAATTGGTACCAGATTCGTCTGGGAGGATAAACACTGACTTGTACATCGGCTGGCCCCGCAAGTCATTGTATAGGCCACATCGCATTCAATAAGCCACTACGATTCTGAATGGAAGTAGAATGCGTGCCGCAAAGGGATTGATCAACGGCGAAGACTTTATCCTTTATCCTTTGAACTTTATCGCAACGCCTCCAACTCAGTAGTAAAGAATGCCGTGAAGAGATTCCGAATAAATTCCGCGCAGAGGCCGTTACAAGTGCCACCTCTAATAAAGGGGATGCCTCGACACATGGTACGCTCAAACACATTGAGGGTGTATGAGACTATCAGCCCCCAGCTGTCGATGTGTCGTGGTCCCCCGCCCAAAACTGCACGGGGTCAGAGTACGGGCCGTGGGAAAGTCGTAATTCCTTGCTACACCGCCCATTTCGCAAACTCACGTTTATGCTAATACCGTCCGCGCGGCACGTGTCGCGTACAGCTCTCTTGGCTTTTTGCGCATTCCTTTATGCGGATAACATTTTAGGTGCTGCAAAATAAGAACCGAAGATGATGGGCCAGAACTCAAGAGCAACTGTGCTGCTCCTGCAACATTCCTCAGAGGCCGCGCATTCCCACAGAACATGACAATAAAAACGGACAATAAAACATGACAATACAAGCAAAACGCAATTTCCTAACATTTGAGGTATTGCTCATGCTTCAAAGTCCGAATAGAAGGTGATGAAGATGACAAAGGGAAATGAAGAACAACGAATGTAGATGAGATAGTCTCATATACCCTCAATGTGTTTGAGCGTACCATGTGTTTTTCCATCGTCAGGTTGAGGACCATTGGGAAAACACCGCTCTCCTGTTGAACCGCGCGCGACGGTGGAGATGGTTCGGTATGGCACGGCACCGGCTTATTCTTCACAACTAATGTGGTCGGCCATGTCTTACAAGTGGTGGAGATCAGGGTGGTGCTTTTCAATCCCAGCTCACTAAATGCCTCAGCATCCGCAGCCAACAAGGCTGAATCTTGACCGTCTCTCGGATCGGATTCTTCTCTGCCGAAGCCAAAGAGGTGATTTGCATATAATTGGGTTACTACTTTTAAGCATTACTGAGTGGCCCTAGACCATGGTCCAGGCATCACGACGCGGAAAATTGCCCGAGCAGCACGACCTCTCTAGAAGGAAGTATCTATACAACCCCTCTTCCACTCATCCGCACAGGCTGCCGTTATGAAATTCAAAACTAGGGTTTTTCTCCTAGTAAGCACTAATTTTCGGTACAGGTCTACCATGGCAAAAATTCGCCCGTCGCGTATTTTGCTCCGAAAAATTGCTTAAGCTGCAGTGAGAGGGTCCAGCAGCTCTGCAGTCCACATTTCCATCTAAACTTCAGAGGGTTTTCAACACCCCTCTCTCCATTATCTACAACTGAAGCTCAGAGACGCTGATAAACTAGACGCGCCACACACCCGTCTCCTACTCAGAATCGCAGCATTTTAGAAAAATATAGATCTATGGATTATGGACTCAATATGAACCAGAAAACCCCTGAGTCAGATAAAGGGTCCCTAGTCGTATTGAGTAAAACGTAACTAGTTGCTGTAGTGCAAATTCATATACAAATACAATTGGAGTGAAACTTTTGATTTCAATTCTTAACACGATAGACATACCGCGCTCCACGATGAGGCGCAAAAGCAAGGGCAGTGTTCCACTGATAGTGCCACTGCTCTGTTCATTATTGGAACCTACACATGCGACTGACACCCTCTTTCTACACGCGGGGATCCCCCCCCCC